TGTTTTAGTTGGAGAATAAGGATTATGTACGCTGACCAATAGAGCTGCGCGGACGAGGAGCAAGATGCCCGGTGTCGAGCAGAGCGAAGCAAAGCCGTCGACTAGAGACTTTGGTTGAGCGACCTTCAATCCAGGTAAGGGTGGGGTTCTGACCTTATAATTGGACTTATGATGTGTATTACGTGGGAATTGGTCGTTTTATGATTATTGTGCGTGGATGTTTCTGAATTACTATCGAAGTTGCTCGTTTATTCATGTTGTGGCTGCTGGGAAGAACTGTAAGACCGTTTAACGAATCCATTTTAGGAAGTTGCCCGATTGTGTGTTGTGGACGTTTTGTTTACCTGTGTGACTGCCCGGTTTAATCGATGAGTAGGTTAGTGTAGATTTTTTCCTATTGTTATGGTCGTTAGGTTGTTGTGGTCGTTATGAGGGTATGATTGTTACGATGCTAGGAATTATTGTTGTAGTCGGTCTTGTATAATGAATGAATCTGCCTATAAGAATATAGTTGCCCGTTATTATGTTACTCTGAGCGGTTGGCCGAAAGTTATGATTTATAGTGGTGTGGTCGTTAAGACGTTATATCATGTATATGTTGTTGGCCGAATTAGTGCTTGACTGCCTAAAAGAAATAGACATAATGAAATTTGATTCCCCACACTAAACATAGAAACCGACTTTGCATTTTCGACCGCAAGAAATGTGAGTCTCCTAAACCTTAACTACTTTGAGTCTTATATTTTGGCTGCAAAAAATAAAACGAGTAATACTGTACCCACTTGTAAACTTGGCTCTTGTATATAATACTAATTAAGTGAATATTTTGTGCCAACTCATCATTCATCATGCAATCCAAAACTACTACAGACTACACCTAGCTGTCAACACGGCAACATATCTGAGCGACTGTACTTTCCTCTGTTTCTTCCTTCCACAAATGTATCACTATAAATACATATCCCACTTCTCTGCCACAATCATCCCTTCGACATTTATTTCATCACCACGCCTTCAATACAAATCCACCATGCCATTTCTTCATACTTCTTCAACCATCTCTTTTCTCTTCTCCCTGTTGCTATTTCTTTCATTCACCACTACATATGCTGCAGGGAACTTCTACCAAAACTTTGACATAACTTGGGGAGATGGTCGTGCCAACATACTCGACAACGGTCAACTTCTCACTCTTTCCCTCGACAAAGCCTCTGGTTCTGGATTTCAATCCAAACACGAATATCTCTTTGGAAACATTGATATGCAGCTCAAGCTTGTACCTGGGAATTCTGCAGGCACCGTCACTGCTTACTATGTAACTACAAATAACGCTTACTGTTTTAATGCTTATAGTAATCAAGTTTCAAATTCCTAATTATTTATTTTTGATATGGCATGATGCAGTTATCATCAAAAGGATCAAACTGGGATGAGGTTGATTTTGAATTCTTGGGAAATGTAAGTGGACAACCATACATTCTTCATACCAATGTGTTCAGTCAAGGCAAAGGTAATAGAGAGCAACAATTCTATCTATGGTTTGATCCAACTGCTGATTTCCACACTTACTCCATTCTCTGGAATCCTCAACGCATTATGTAAGTGCTTTTTACATATTTCACACACATTTCGATTTCATTCATTCAGTCTTGATTAATGATGAGCACGTGTGTATATTTATTGAATGCAGCTTCTCAGTGGATGGAACACCTATAAGAGAATTCAAAAACATGGAATCAAAAGGAGTTGCATTTCCAAAGAACCAACCAATGAGATTATATTCAAGTCTATGGAATGCTGATGATTGGGCAACAAGAGGTGGTCTTGTCAAGACAGATTGGAATCAAGCTCCATTCATAGCTTCATACAGAAATTTCAATGCTGATGCTTCATCGTCCAATGCTTGGTATTCCCAACAGTTGGATTCAACAAGTCAACAGAGATTGACTTGGGTGCAAAACAATTACATGATTTACAATTATTGCAATGACACCAAAAGATTTCCTCAAGGACTTCCAACAGAATGCACAACATCCTAATTATATCTACCTATTTGTAACTATATACTTGAAGATTTAATTTATTGTTTTTCTCTTTAGTTACGTTTATTCAATTTCTTTTACTTGTAATTTGCTTCATATCAATTCGTTTATTCTTTCATACAAATAATAAATAAATATTCAGATTTTTGTCTTGCAAGCTCAAAGTAATCTTTTAATTTTAATAGAGTTCAGAATGAAAAGTTAACCATGTTCAGTTGTTTATTATAATGTATTTATTAATCATCAAATGAAAGTTTCTAGCCAAAAATTTGAAATATATCGATCATATAATTTAATATGTAAAAATATCCACCCTCAAAAAATTAATAATATACGATGAAGTCACACAAAAGACCTTTTTGGTGAAGTCATTAATCTAAGCAATGAAAAAGCAATATTGACTTAGAAAGTGTCGCATAAGATTATATAGTAGATACTACTCCGGCTATTATTATAACTAATTTTTTTTAGTTTCATTGAATAAGAATATTTCCGGTCTTTTATGTAGATTAGATACATTATTTATTTAATAAACCTAAAAAACAATCTTTCTTTATAATAAAGATCGGAGAAAGTATAATTATTATGTATTTTCTCCGTTCTTTTTAAAGTGTCACTTTTTAGAGATTTTTTTTGTTTTTTTAAAGTGTCACATTTTAAAGTTTAAGATAATATTGATTATAGTTTTATCAGAATTATCTCTAATCATTATTATCGAGAAAAAAAAAGTTAAATAAATTATTATAAAGTTAAGGATATTACAGAAAAAAATAAACATTATTTAAAAAGTAACAATAAACATTATTTATCTTGATATCTATAAAAAAATTAAAAAAATGATAATTAAAAAGAAACGGAGAAAATATCTTCATATTTATTAATATTGCAACCAAGTCTGTGACATTTTAAATGTGGCAAAATTACATACAAGGATTAGTGACTTTGGAATTTGGTACCTTTGGTACCTTTCCCTCTATCTCTCTCTAAACAAATTCTTCTCTCTAAATAAATAATATATTTTAATTACTCATTTCTCTCTAAATTAGCCTAAGGACATCAAAGGTATGAAAGGCACTAAATCCATTCCCCAAAATTACTTCAATCTTTATATTGTTTTTTTAATTTTAATTGTTATTGTGAAAATCAATTAAAACAACTTTTGGTTCCCTTAAATTTATCGTGCTCATTTTTATTTCGTATTTTTTTCCCAACACTTTAGAAAAACATCAACATCATTTTTATCTTGTTCATTTCATCAACATCATATTCATCTTGCTCATTTCACTTGAAACCTCAATTTCGTGTTCGTCCGTCATTGTTGAAAAAAATGAAGTTATTCTTTATGCTCATTTGTTATTTTATATTCTTTCCCAACATTGCAGACGAACGTCAAGATCATATTCATCGTGTTCTTCCTCCATTGTTGAACAAATTGGTGTTTTCTATTATTTTGATATTCTCCTTTTCAATCACTCATCAATATAACACGACCAAAAATCTGCTTGTATTCGTATTGAGAATATTATTGCTAAGGTAAATGGAAAAATATTTGTTATATTTATTTGACATTATTTATTATGATTTATTGATTTCCAATTAAGCATAATTGGAGGTGTTAAATTTGATTTCAATTTGGGAATTAATGTTTATGCTTGAATTTGTTTTTTTTTGTATATAGTTTTCATATTTAATTATTTTTATTTTAAATTTTGTTAGTTTAAATTTTGAATAAAGTATTGGAGGTGTTAACTTTGATTTCAATATCTGAATTAGGGTTTATGTTTTAAATTGTTTTCAATATGTGAATTAGGGTTTATGTCTTAAATTGTTTTTAATATATGAATTAGGGTTTATGCTTGAATTTTTTTCTGTATATGGGTTTCATATTTGATGATTTCGAATTTTTAATTTTGTTAGTTACCTTTGATTTAATTAGGAAATTAGGTATTGTGATTGATGTTGAGCTTTGTTGTGTTAAAAATTGTGTTACTTCAGGTTTACTATGGAAAACTACGATGATTTTGATTCCAATTAAGTTCATTCCACTGATGGTGAAACATCTAATGTTGAATCGAATGATAATGAGGATGACAATTATTCGATATCTAGTGGGTATCAAAGTGCATATGTGTTAGCTGAGAATTTCGATTATCTAAAATATTAAAGAGAAATGAAGAATGTAGAAGGAAATCTAGTTTTAAAAAGAAATATGAAAACATTTCTTAGAGCTTCCGACTGACCAAGAGTATGATAGCTTGATTATATTAAACGATGGAGAAAGTCTTATTGTTGCAAATATACACGGGACTTAAGAAATTTCATGTTTTGAATTTGAATGTTTCGATAAGTCATGTTGTTCGTTTGGCGCTTCAAAAAGAAGGAGAATTTAAATTCAAATGGTTTGATCTTATCTGAAAGGACGCGTGGAAGCCTGAAGATTCAAAGAGCATGCAAACATCAAATGTGACACTCTTGTAGAGAAAGACCGTTATGGTCGAATTAGTATAAATTAAGATCTTTATGTCAGATTTTAGTGTGTTCACTTTTGTACAAATCACTCAAATAAACTCGAAGTACCAAGTGCTAGAGAAAAGAGTTACTAACAATGTACGTATGAAACACTAGTTTTTATTCAAAGTCATTTATCTTTTGAATCAAGTCTTTTATGTTTCATTTTTAGTTTAAATCGAAGTACATTTACATTCCAGTTTTTAATTTAAAACTTTTTCTATCTTTATCTTCAAGTATTTATTTTATCTTTACTTTCGTTATAATTATCCTTTCGACAAAGAGTAAATATCCAGAAACGTTAGAACATCAAAACTTAAACACATGTTCTAGGATCAATCCAATCGATTCTGTGAGTAACCAAAAAATATATTTGTTGTGGAAGTAGATGCAATTGTAGGTGATAGATTGGTGAGTATTTGTTCCATTACTTATGATGAAATTCGTTTTATGGAATTTGATACTGTTAATGAAGCTTATGCATTGAATGGTAAATGTAAAGGTTTTTCCATTAGGAAAAGTGATGTTAGGACAAGAGGGCCTGAAGGTAGTAAAATAATACTACTTCTATTCCTTTATATAAGAGACAAATTAAATTTTAGGTTCATTGAATAATTAATGTATTTAGTATGTTTTATAAACAAATACATTAATTATTCAATGAACTTAAAAAATTGAATTGTCTCTTATATAAAGGAAAAAAGGTAGTAGTAATGAGGCAATATGTATGCAATAAACATGGCTTAAGAGAGAAGAAACACTTATGTAGGATTGAAAGGAAAAGAGATCACAACCGTTTGACAAGTACTAAATGTGCAGCTAGGCTTCGTGTGCACTACAAAGCCAAAAAGGGTAGATATGTAGTATCAATTTTTGAAGAGGCTTATAACTATGAATTAACCCCATCTAGGTTTGTGCACTTACACCCCATTTATCGTGAAATTTATGAAGTAGATAGAGCTCAGATTGATGGTCTTCAGTCACATGGAATTAGAACTTGTCATATAATGGGGTAAATGGTTGCTCAAAAGGGTGGATATGCTAGTGTTGTGTTTACAAAGAAGGATTTGTACAATTATTTTGAAAAAAAGTGTGCTATTATTAAAGATGGTGAAGTTGCCGCTACTTTAAATCATCTAAATGTAAATTCATCTACTGATCCCATGCTATATGCTAAATATGTTGTCAATAGTGATAGGCGAATGAAGTCTCTTTTTTGGGCTGAAGGGAGCAGTGGATCTGACTATTTTTGTTTTGGCGATGTAATCGCGTTCAACACAACTTATAAGAAGAAGAAATACAACTACCCGTTGGTTATATTTCCAGGGTGTAACCACCATGCCCAGACTACTATTTTGGAGCTACATTGGTATCAGATGAAACGATAAAGACATATAAGTAGTTGTTGAGGTGTTTTTTATAGTGCATGGAAGATAAATATCCAAAAGTAGTTGTAACATATGGATATGGGGCTATGAGGTAGGATATAAAATGGGTTTTTGCGAATGCGACTGAACGATTATGTGCTTGGCATTTGGATAAGAATGCAGATGAAAATGTAAGAAAGTCACAATTTTTGGAAAGTTTTAAAAAAGGCATGTACTCAAATTTTACAAAGGATCAATTTGAAGAGTTTTAATCAGAGCTAATTAAAGAAAATGAACTTGAAGGAAATATTTGAGTTGCAAAAACATATGAGAATAAGTCACTATGGGCAACTGCATATCTACATGATATTTTTTTACACGTATAAGAACTATGTCTCAATGTGAAGTTGTTAATGCAATAATCAAGAGTTATGTCATTAAGAAAGGCTGCATTTTTTAATTTATGTACAATTTTGAGAAGGCTTTGAGATAGTATAGAAATAATGAACTAGTAGCAGTTTTTAAAATCAAAGTTTTTAGAACTTGTGTTGACAACTCACCTACGTTTGATTAATATTGATGCCACTAAAACTTATACATACGAGATTTTAAAAGAAGTTAAAGATGAAATTATGAAGGTTGGTGCATTGATTGTTAAGAACCTATTTGCTCATGGGAATATGAAAATTTATACATTGACAAAATATTTTCAGGAAAAATATGAAAGAGAAGTTTCTTATGATGGTCTAACCCTTCAATATTCCTGTAGGTTATTTGATTCTCGTGGACTTCCATGTACTCATATGTTTTATGTCATTAAGGAAGAATATGTTGATCACATTCCTAGCAATTTAGTAATGTCGCGCTGGACCAAGGATGCAAAAATTGAATTCTTAAACATGATTTGTAATGGTACAGTTGATTCAAATTTGACTGAGCAAGCTCATTTTGGTGCATATTGTTATGCTTTTACTAATTTTTGCAAAAAAAGATTAAAAAAATAATGGTGTTTATGTGGAAATAATGGATGGCATTGTGACGATCTTATTGGGACACAAAAGAAAGGTGGAAATTTATACCATACGATTCAGCAATTTCCAGGCCAAACAAATTGCATCATTCACTCTTTGAGGCCCTCGGGAGACCATCCATACCTTGCATAAGGCGTGGAACGCTCTAGAAGACCAGATCCATACACCACCAGACCTTGGTAAGACTTGGCTTCAAAATCTTTCAAATGCATGCTATAAATTGATTTTCGTTCCATATTCATGTTATTGTCATTGATTGTGAGCATTCTAACATCTTTCATGTAAGGTACAGGGCCAAAACCTCTAATCACCATTGTTAGGGTTTCTAAACGTGAGTTTCGTTTTCAGTGTTAGAAGCATTTTTAGGCCAATTTAAGGCCAAAATCGGATTCACGATTCGATTTTGTATAGGGTATGGCCTTTAACTCTTCACAAATCCCATGCTTTTGCAGGTTTGAGAATTGGAACCTCCCGGAGAAGATGACCGCAGATCCCCTCTTGCATCATTGAATCGTTGACTCCGTTTGGAGCATGCGTGGCATTTTAACATAATCTGATTGGCTCATTTGAATTGCTGACTGTTTACCGTGGAAATTGGTAAACAACCGCTGATCCTCCAAAAGGTTACTTATTTGGTGACTCGCAGGATCGATCATATTGATCCTAAGACATGGTTGATTTTTGGGGTTTTGATTAAGTTTAATGATGGTTAATGACAAGAAAATAAAGACACTTTATGTAAATTGCATGAAGAAAACTTGGTAGAATGAAAGAAAGCTTTAAATAAAGGCTTCGACTGGGAAAAGTAAATGAAAGGCAATAAAGTTCTGGAAAATAAATGACTTTGATTAATTTAAATGGTGTTTCACACATACATTCTCAACAATTCTTTCTCTCACACTGGGTACTTGAATCTAAATGAGTAACTTGTATATAATTGTGAACACACGCGAAAAACTACGTGAACAACTAGTATTTATACTAAACACATCTTAAGTAACCGTCGGGCGGTTACGCTGCTTCGAGATGACTCCACTTGGCATGCTCACAGCATTCGACGCTCCTGATCTTGGCACGTTGCACTTGGTAACCGCTGGGAACCGTTTTCCCTCCAAACATTCGAATCTCAAACTGTTCCACTCTGAGCATCGAATCCTTTTGTCGAGAAGAACCTTCGACGTCGAAGGCAACAAGATTCCTACTTAGAAGAAATTCTCTAAGTACCTTGCCACCTTCTGATGAGCCTTTCGACAGAATCAGCTGGTCGAGACCATCCCTCACGATTAATGGTTTATATTAATAAAAACAAGGGTGTCGAACTTAGGAGCCAACAAATTGCCCCCCAAGAATGCCTTATTTCGACGTTGAAAAGAAAAAAGGCATTCTTTGAGATTCCACTCGACACCTGTCCTTCATTCTTAGCCACATATTAACCTGTGCGCTTTTCGTCTTCTACCAACCAACTGACAATCCCAAGAAAAAGCCATCATTCCATCTGTACCTAAGACGTCACCTCAGTAAGGCGTTTAGCGTGCCCAATGTCTTTTCACAGATTGTCATCATGACAATTTCCCAAAAACGAGGGCGCACACTACACCGTTTTGTTTCTGCAGAACGGCTATGTCAGCGAAGGAGCGCCACGTGCCCCACTATCATCTGCAACATTAAATGGCCTCGAATTTTGTGATTTCCCAACCACTATAAATAGCGCTAAGTACCCATTGTGGGACGTTTTCACGCCATTCTGCATCCAAACCTTATTGTTGAACAAAAACTTCTGCAAACCTGCAAACACTTTGTTCTTCACTCACCTTCAATCTTAACCCAAAAATGGCTTCAGGTTCCTCTAATGCTCCTAGTTCCAACATTCCTTTTAGAAATGCCAAACCAAAAATCTTCTCAACTGTTCCAACAGTTAACTCTACAGGCATGCGAAGGGTTCCTGAACCCCTAGGAACTGCTGAGCGTGAAGCTTATTCACATCAACTACTGATTCCGGTTGGATACTCCAACCAGATTTTCGCCATGTCTGGCCCGTTATCCCCATGCATTGATGAATCCACAAAGATCAAGAACTTCTTCCCGGTGCTTGAGGCACTCAAACCTGTTGGGTGTTCCAAAAAAGTTGCAGATGACAACGAAGATCCCGCTAAGGAAAAGATAGATCTTCGTTTCTTCAATAGAGGTGTTAGGGCTTTTAGGTCTAGCCCTAGCCTTACATCAGACTACAGCGCTTGGCTAGAGAAGATGGAAAAAAGCCAGGCTTCGATTTGGAAGAACCTGGGGATATACGACCTAGTCATGCTGTCGAAGACTGGTCTCAACTACTCCCCTGAGATGCTGATAGCCTCTTTGCTTTTCTGGGATTATACTCACTTCACTTTCCACCTGCCTTGTGGAATGCTAACACCCACTCTTTTCGACGTGGCTGCCATCACCGGTCTTCGACCAACTGGGGATTATTTCGACCCAGAGGAAATGTCGGAAGACCAAATTGGGTTTTCAGCTACCAAACCCACCTATACCACCTATATCAACCACTACCATGATAGGTCGACAGCCAATGTGACGGATGTGGAGCACATTGCGTTTCTAGCCCTTTGGCTGTCACGCTTTGTGTTCTGTACGAAGTCTCTACAGGTGACAAAGAAAATGGTCACCCTTGCTACCCAGCTTCACCATGGTCAAAACATTTGTTTGGCCGAATTAATCCTGGCGAATCTGTATGAGTCAATCAGCAGTGGAGCGACTCTGTTAAAGGTCATCGAAAATAGAGCCAGTTTGTTGCTTCCAGGACCCTTCTGGCTACTTCAACTATGGCTAAATGCCACTTTTGAGTCTTTCTTACCTCAGAAAACTCAAATAGACGAACAAGCTCCTGAGATAGCCAACAGGCGTATCGAAGGCACCAGACTGGCTTTACTGACTCCGACTGAGGATGGGTTGGAACTCCAACAGACTTTTGCAAACTTCGTCTTGATGTTTGCAAGAAGAAAAGAATTCACCTCGACCATGGTTCCTTTCGCTCGTCGAAAGTTTGGTCCAGAATGGTTCACCAGGCCCCATCCCAAGTCGTCAGGTGACCCTCATGTCGAAGAATACACAATAATGTGGGAAGCATTTCTCACACCCAGAATAATGCCACTGCGCTTTAAGAGTTCCAAGAATCACCTGAGCTTGATCGCTTATCAGCCAAACTTGGTCTCTCGACAGTTTGGTATCATTCAATCACTTCCTTCTCCCATTTTTCCTAGGGAGAAATCAATGTTATATTTTTGCAATGATTATACTGAGGATGCTGCCACCAAGCATATTGGCAGGTACGCTGGTCGAACAGTACTTTCACTGTTCGACTATCAACTTAACTTCATCTGTTCACCATCTTTCGAAGACTGGTGGAAGAGTTATTATGCTGAAGAGTTCTTCGACGAAAAAGATTTTGTGGACGAACTTCAGAAGTCCTTCGTTCTAGTCCTTGACAAAATAAAGAAATGTACGTTCACTCTCCAAATTATTTTTGTCTTTCCATTTCGACTTGTAACTTGTTAATTATAACTTATGAACGCGTCTTCTTTCAGTTGTTCGAAAGCCTGCAGCAAAGAAAGCCGCAGAAGGCCA